AGGAGGAGGAGGAGGAGGAGGAGGACAAGTCTGGGGAGGACATCCGCTTCTTCGGCGTCCTCGACCTCTGCGAGAGTGATGGGTCGCCACAGCCTTCCTCGGCCTGGCATAGGCGTCGGGTGCCCCGCTCTGCAAGCTGGCGCGGTCCTGCCTCCCGCCTCTCCTCCCCACCTCCTTCCGTGGGGCTGTCTGCAGGCTGGTGCGTTTTCCCGCCAAGCGGGCCTTCTGTGAGGGAAGTCCTGCCTCTGCAGCTACTTCGATCCAAACTGTTTTTGTTGTCTCGTAGATAGGGCCAGACATTGGGTCCGGTATATTTCTTTGCTTTGCATTGCCTCCTCTTCCTCAGCTTCCGCATCCTCCTCCTTGCTTCCCCTCCTCGCTTCTACTCCTCCTTGCGTCTACACTTCTGCTCCTCTCCCCTTCCTCCTCCTCCTTCTCCTCCTCCTGCTCCCCCTCCTCCTCCTCCTCCCCCTCCTCCTCTTCCTCCTCCTCCTCCTCCTCCTCCTCCTCCTCCTCCCCTCCTCCTCTTCCTCCTCCTCCTCCTCCTCCTCCTCTTCCTGGACGCAGCGTGCGACAGCGAGGTGGGGAAGGGGGGGAGGGGGCGGGAGGAGGAGCACGGTGTGTGCAGAGCGGGCGCCCGTGTGGGAGGCACCTGGTGGCCCTCAAGGCCGAGGCCGCGGGCGTCGGCCTATGGCTGCTCTGGTGCCCGCAGGCCCACTGCGGAGCCACCCCGGGGGCTCTGCGGTCGGCCTCCGTCCTGGAGGCTCGATCAGGGAAGTGCTGATAGTAGAATGCGACGTTCTTCCCTCCTCCCTCCTCCTCCTCCTCCGCCTCCTCCTCCGCCTCCTCCTCCTCCTCCTCCTCCTCCTCCTCCCCCTCCTCCTCCTCCTCCTCCTCCTCCTCCTCCTCCGGGCAACGATTTAAGGGGAAATAGGGGCTTGGCATCGCTTGGACGTGTGCACTTTCTTCTTCGGCGAGGACCATCGAGGAGCATCCTAGATCATCTGGCAAAGGAAGCACGCACGAGACCAAACATGCACGGGGATTGGACGTCCGAGCGATGGAAGGGGGGGGGGGGCGTCTCGAACCCCAAGCGCCCATTGATCGCCGATTGGGCTCTGACAGCCCCACCCCGCCGGGGAGCGTTCGGCTGCGCTATCATGGGCCCATTGCCGATCTATCGGCGACGCATCGCCGATTTCAGGTCGATGTTTCCCCCCCACCCCCTATGCCAGTCCCCCCCCCTATCGTTGGCCCGTGAAGCACAACCCGCGCAGCTCAGCGTGCACGCTCAGAGATCCTGGCGGATCTCTTGGCTCTGGGTTTCGGTCGGGCATGCCCTCCTACGGGCGGATTTTGGGAAGATAGACAAGAACGAATTAAACAAATCATACAAACACACTGCACATGTGATCGTTTTTTTTATTTCATTGTTTTGCCGATCGGCGTGGGCCCCCCCTATGGAGTAGATCTTGGCTGTTTTTTGGAACCTGTTTCGAGCGGGGTGGAGTCCCCTCGCTGCTGCAAACAGTCACACTAAGCAGAGGTCCGGAGCCAGACCCCTCCTTCCCCCCTTCCTCCCAATGTCCCAGTGCCGACACGCCGGATGAAAAGAACAAATAAGCGCTTACCATGGTCCCCATACTATGGGCACGGCACATGGTCTGTTCTTGACCTTCCTCCTGTGGAGGGACATGCCCGGCTGAAATCTCTGGGCTCCCCCCCCCTTGGCGACGCCTCCTACGCCGACCCCCTGGGCGCGCTCCTCGCGGCAGGGGGGGGGGGCGGGCCCCGCTCCGATCCGAGAAGCCCTCGCGCCTTTCGAGCGCCGACGTCTGTGCAGTTTTGAGTCGGGCATGGCTTTGGTTTCTACAGGAGGAATCTTCCAAAGCAGTTCAAACATAGTCAGGGGACGATTTTTCGTGCTCTCTTTTGTCTGACCATTTGCTTATTTCTGGCATTCAGAAGCTTTCGGGCAATCTCCGCCTGCAGGAGGACATGCCCGACCTAAGTGTAGTGTTGCTTTTCCTTTCCTGAAGGCTCGCGCGGTGGACGCGGAGGCGGACTCGCCCGAGGAGGCGAGGAGAGTCGGAGACGAGGAGCTCGCGCGCTTCTCCGTGCGCGGCGCGTCCGAGGGGCAGCCGCTGTGCGTGATGCTGCAGGCCAGCGCGGTCCAGACGCGAGACGACTGGATGGCGGTCCTGAGCGGCTGTCTTCCTCCCTTGAGGATGCGCTAGGACCGCGTCCGATCGCGCTGAGAGGCCCCAGGTGGGCCTCTCAGCACTCGAAGGCAGCAGGCTGACACGCGTCAGCGGAATTTCCGACGAAAATCGTGCGCCCCTCTCCTCAGTCAATCACACCTTCTGCTTTGCCCTGTTGTTTGAACGAGGCACGCTCCGTCGCGTCCAGTTCCCCTCGCAGGGGAGCATGAATTCAGCCGCTTGGGGGAAGATGTTAGACGTGGATACTTCGACGCATAGCAATGACATCCTTAGTGCTGCACCTACTGGGGTAGTGAAGGATAGCATCGTCCGCTGAAGTTTCTGATCGGATGGCTCTCGCAACAGTTCAAGGCTTAGCTGTCAGGGATGTCTGGGGCGCTCCGCCAAGCTTAGCTCGATGAGGCGTCCTGGCTGCGCGACAGCTTAGCGGGAGTCGATGCTGGATCTTTTGAGTTGGATTTCGTAGGCGTTGAGACCAGAGTTACGCGAGGTAGTAGATGATGTGCTGCATTCGTACCCTTTCACGGGGCACACCTCTTCTTGCTGAGCTTGTTCGCGTTGTTGGTTACACCCGGGGCAGTAGCAAGGATTTGCTTGAACATGTAGCGACGACAGCTGTCGCTTCCCCCATCCATTCAGACATAGTGCGCAATGGGGCACATCGAGATATGACGTTCAACTGCTGCATTTTTTGTTCAGGGCTTGCTCACCACCATTTGTCTGCGTGCCCGAAGGCACAGGGCCGGAGGAGAATTGCTGGACCGTCCCCGCCCTATGCTGGCGATGCCCTCCAGAGTTTTTGGCGCATCTGGGGTCTTGGCGTTGGATGCTGGAGAGCCAGGGAGGCAGGGCTCCTTTCGACTCCTCCTGCTCGATTCGATTCGATTCCGATTGATTCCAAATCCGCTTCGATTCGGCCTCGGATTCCGATTTGAGATTTGGTTTCTCAGCGGAGGTTTTCCTTGCCTGCCGATTTCCTCCGATTCGGCCTATTCCGACTTAGCTACGGATTTCCGCCGAGGAGGAGGAGAAGGTGGAGGATGAGGAGGACGAGGAGGAGCTACCGATTTCCGACGACCCGATTCATTTCGATCTCCGATTCGACTTCTGGACTCGACTCTGGGCTCTCCCAGGGAGGGCCCTGTCTGGCCCTGCGCATCAGAAGGAGGAGAGGCAACGCCGAAACCACCAGGGTGCCCACTTCCAGCGAGGAGGTCCACGATGCCTCCCCGAGCTGGAGGCTGGGGATGTCTCGAGCGAGAGGGGGGGACCACACCACCAGGGATACCCCCCTTGCCTCCTCGCATTTCCTCGCCCTGGTCATGTTGGTGTCGCCTTTCCGTTTTCCTATCATGATTTTCCCCCGCGATGTCGTCCATGTAATGATCCGCAGTCCCCGTTTTTCGTCTCGAGGGATGTGGGGCCTGGGGATGAGGGAGGAGGAGGAGGCGGAGGAGGAGGCGGAGGAGGAGGCGGAGGGGCGCACGGGGAGCGGCGCATGGGGGTGGCACGAGGGGCGTGGCCCGTTCCTTCCCTCAGGTGTTCGATCACGGTCCCTCTGTGTCTCAACGCAACCAGCGCGCTCTCGAGCGGAGCACCGCCGAGGTCAGTGGGGTAAACGAGAGAAGAAGAAGAATAACAAGTAGAAAGACAAAATGCATAAACAGTAGTTGTGGTTCTACAGCATGAGTGGGGTGAAACGAAAGAGACAGTAACAGACAAGCGAATCAAGCACATGTGTCGCTTCAAAACGTGAGTGGGGTAGGACGATGTCGAAGGCTCTCCACGTGAGTCTCTTTCCTGGGGGGCGATACATGGCTGGGGGGCAGCGAGGGCTGCTGAGAAGGAGCCCTCTATGCCCCCCTCAAGGAGGCCCTTTCGGGCCCATGAGGGGCCTTCAGGGCCGATGCATGGGGGGGGGCAGCGAGGGCTGCCGAACAGGGGCCAGTTGGGCTCCCCCCCGAAGGAGGGGCCCTTTTTCGGGCCCAGGAGGGGGCCTCGGGCCCGAAGAGGGCACCTCTCTCTCCCACCCCGCTTTCTCATCGCCCCCCGCGAGAACTCGCGCCCAGCCCCCCGAGGGCCCCCCCCCCTGGATCCCGCAGCCGTTCGGGCACGGGCCGCGGGCCCGCGGGCCCGCGGCGCGGCCGGCCGGCGGTGCTCCGCGGCTGCGCTCCCGACGGGAGGCTGGCAGGCCGAAGACCCGCGGAGCCGGCGTTGCGAAAGAGCCGCGGCAAGAGACGGGGGTCAGCAGGGCTCGTTTCGATTTCTCCGATCCGATCCGATTCGATTCCGATGGCCTCCGATTTTGAGCCGATGCGACATCGGATGCCGATTCGGGCTCCGATTTCTTATCTAGCCCGCCGAATTCCGCCGATTCGACTTTTCCTGATTCGGCTCCCCATTTCCGCCGAGTTGACTCATTTCGATCGCCGATCCGACTTATCGATTCGATTCTAGGCTCTCCTGGGGTCAATGCAAACGGGGGTCAGTCAGAGCGCCCGATATTGCAGGATCCTGCAGGGCCAGGGGTGCATTGACCTGAGCCTGCGTGCAGGATCCTGTAGGGTCTTGCCGGATCGTGCAGGATCCTGCGCAGCCCGATTGACCCGTGTCTGCATTGACCCAGGTCAGCAGGTCCTTGATTCTTCCGAGTGGAGCAACACGATGACCGTGACCAAGGTGTCGCTGGGTCTCGTCGGGGTCGATCGTGGTCAAGGTCCATGCCGGCCGTTGCCGATTCGCGAGGAAGATCCACGAATTGGCGATTACCAAGATGAGCGCTGAGCAAGCTCGAGACTGGCACTTCTGCGTACTGTCTTGGTGATGGTCACCGCCTTCTCCCCCTTCATTTTCGCCCTGGGTTCGGGCCCGGTCTCTCTCGAGGCATGCTGCAGGCAGACTGGGCCGAGGGCTCCGGCGTGAGCTTTTTGGGTTTGGCAGCGCCGTGGTTTCGGCGTGGAGTTTCGGGGCGGGCCCGCGGCGGCTCACAAGGGACCCCGACGGGTCAGAGGGCTGCATAAGTTACCAGCCTGGAACATATTCCTATCCCTATGCTGGGCACCTCCTCATCACGATGCCAATCTTAGGGATTTCCTTTTTTTTTGAGGGCGAATCCCTAAGATTGTCATCGCCTTTTGGCGTGTCAATCTTAGGGATAGGGATACGTTCGAGGCTGGTAAATAAGAGGCGATCCGAGAGTGGCTTCTCCTGTTTCCTCCCTAGTGGGGCGGGGGCCTACTCCCGAGTCCCTCCTCTGAGGGGCTCGATGCTCGGTGTAGACATCACGCCGTGTGGTCGGTCAGGGAGCCCAGGACTTCGGCGAAGGAATTGGGTGTGTAGACGCTCCAGCGTCCCACAGATTTGGCAGCCCTGGTGTTTATACGCCGGGCTCCTTGGCCGACCAAACGACAAGGTGTATACATCGAGCGCCTCCCATCTCCCTGGCGATCCCATGGGCCCTTGGGTTGTTAGCCTGCCAGTGGAATGGAGGCTGCCGTGGCCGCCAGGGACGCCAGTCTCCTGGCCGTGCTGGTGCGGGCGCAACTAGGCCAACGCCTCTCTGCTCTGCCTGCTGCTTCTGCCCCTGTTCCGCCTCATACTCAGACCGTCTGAACCCTGTCGGGGTCCAACTCATACTCGTCGGTCGTTGAAAGTAGGTACCGTAGCACCCCCGCAGCTGCGGATAATAGTGAGGGGGCGGCGGGGACGTCTGCAGTCTGCGAGGCTCTGAAGAAGCCCGCCGCAGGCGCCAAGTTTTTACAAATTCTACTACGAGCCCGCCGCATGCGCCGTTTTTTGTGTTAAAGCAAGTAAAGCTGATGGGTCGCGGGGTGGGTCGCAGGTGTTTCGCGGGTGGGTCGCGAGTGGGTCGCGGGTGGGTCGCGGGTGGGTCGCGGGTGGGTCGCGGGGTGGGTCGCGGGGTTGGTTTTGGGTGGGTCTTGGGTGGGTCGCGGGGTGGGTCGTGGAACAGCAACATCAACATCAGCAGCAACAGCAACGACGACGACAACGACGACGACAACAACAACGACGACAACAACGACAACAACAACAATATCAACAACAACAACAACAACAGCGACGATGACGACAACAACAACAATCCACCCTCCTCAGAACTTCACTTCAGCCTCGCGCCCAGGGACAGTTCACTCTGATTTTTGGATTCCCGGATCCCAGTTTTTTTCAAGCGCCTTCCTACCTCAAGCATCGATGTGCTTTCGCCGTGTTCTGTTATTCGACACAATCTGCTTCATCCGCCTTCCTGATCTGTGATTTTACCCACTTCTCCCGACCGATGTGTACTCATTCGTCTTTCTTCACTAAGGTAAGACCAAGCGACATTAGATACAGTCTCGGAGGTGCTGTCGGATTTCTTGGATCGGCGCCGACGGCGTCGCCCCTGGTTGCGCTCCGCGCGACAGATATTCTGCGCGCTCGCACTCGTTACAATCATTCGAAAACCATTGTTGTTGGGCCATTCTCGGCGGCGAGCGAGGGGGGGGGGAAGTGAGACGGAGAATGCCTTCGAGAAAGTTGTCTGCGTCTTCGGGGAGAGGTTAGAACACTCTTTAGAAGGCCGGGGGACTTTCAAGCCTTCTGAGAAGGCCCGCCCCTTCTCACTCCCCCCCAGGGTTGCCGCCGACGTTCTGCCAGATGAGACGCGCACCACTTTTTTTGCATGTCGGCGGCGCAGAGGGTCCTCGGGCGCGGGCAGCAGATGGAAGTGCCAACTGCGGTCGAGCATTGTCGAAGGCAGAGTGTACAAAACGTGCGCGCTGTCAAGTTCGGGGGCGGCAAAGAGGGGGGTGATGACTAGGGGGGGGTGGACATCATGGCGTGGGCCATGCTATTTCCCTAGATTTCGTGGCGCCTCTTCTTATTTCATTACGTCCCTGCCCCCCCCGCTGGGCCGCGCACATGCCGCCGGTCATGATTTGCACCCCCCCTCTTGGACACCCCCCTCTTGGCCGCTCCCGACAAGTGCAGCGGTGCAAGAGGAACGGACCACGCGCGCGCATGTCGAAAACACATCCGGCAACCATCGCGCACCTGCCAACTCTGTCAAACAGCACCGCTCCGGGCCACAGCGCGCGTCTCCGCGCTCGCACGGTCACGGCATCACGAGCAATCCAACACAGGAGATGTGCAGATCCACACCAGGGCTCCATGGCTTCTCATGAGCACTTCTGTCAGGAGTTCTTGATTTCTGCGCGCGCACTCCTTCATTATTCGAGCCAGCGCCATCGTCATCATCTTCGCCGGGGTCATCACTGCCACCAGCATCATCCACACCATCAGCCTTATCACCATCACCATCGTCGGTGTCATCGTCCCCACTATCGTCATCGGTCATCGGCATCGTGATGGTCGTTGTTATCGTCGTTGTCGTCGTCTTCGTCATCAGCGCCACCATCGTTATCATCTGCACGGGAAGTGTCCTCGCGTCACATTGCTTGGAGCTCATGACTGCCATCTCCACAAGAGAACTGCACCACACAGATTGCACGACATACGTTGTAGTTCATACGATTATATACAACACCCTGAATGCAACAATTCACTGTTTGAGGTCCACGCTGGCAGACCTTGATATTTTATACAGGGTATCTCTCGTATTGAGCTCGGTTTGCATCGTGCTGCGATAGTTGCCGTTACCGGGGGGGGGGGGGGGCGGGGGACGAGGCTGGTAGTGTCACAGTTTGCGCCCGCGGGAGGTGGGGTGACTGGCCCTGTAGCGTTCAGGCAAGGAATGGTTTGGGACGGCGGCGACGACGACGACGGTGACGACGGCGACGACGACGGCGATGGCGACGACGACGACGGCGACGACGGCGACGACGACGACGGCGACGACGACGACAACGACGACCGACGATGTCCAGAGGCTTCTAGGCACATTGGCGCGTAGGCAGTGTGTACACACGCACTGCAGTGTACGCAGGCCTGGAGGCGTGGCGCAAACCTGCTGCTGTAGCAGCATCTGTGGTGTGCACGTGCGTTCTGGTGTACACAGGCATTGTCGTCAACACCAGCGCTGTGGTGCACACAGTTGGTGTGGTGCGTGCGGGCATCATGATTTACACGCGTACCCGTTGCGCACAGATTTTGTTGCAGCAGAATTTGTGGTGTACAGGTACGGTGGTGGACACAGTCATTGTGGTGCGCACAGGCGCTGTTGTTCACACAGGCCCTGTGATGTACACAGTCGCTATGGTATACACAGGCGCTGTGTGTTGCACACGGGTCTTGTTGGTGCATCACTTGTGGTGTGCACAAGCACTGCTGCGTGCACAGGCGCTGAGGTGCACATAAGCAGTTTTTTTTACACATGCAGTATCGGTCCCAAGCACGGGGGAATACCACCTTGCGCCGGAACAGTGAACATTCACAAATAACTCCCCTTTGGTACGTTCGGGCTTTCTACAGTGTTCTTGATTTTGGCCTCGTCTGGACCCTTGGGGTGTACACAGGCTTTTCGGTGTACACAGGCGCTGTGGTGTACGGGCGCTGCGGTAAACACGCACATGGTGCTGAAGCAGCGGCTGTGGTGCACTCGGGTGATGCGGTGTGCACACGGCGTTGTGGTGCACATGGCTGTTGTGCTTTGCACATGGTCGCGGGCCAACACTTCGGTCGACTCAAACCAATTTGAGAAGCCGTGGTTGGTGTTTTGCTGGAGCGCCGTTCTGTATTTCGGCGAGATTTGTGGCGCCTCCGAGGCCCCAGAGAGACTCCAAACCCTCGAGCTCCCCGCTCGCGCCTTTGCGAACACCACCGACGTCGAACATTTTTACCTGCGGGCACCTGCAGCATGGTGTGCACAGGCGCTGGGGTGCACACAGATGTTTCGGCTGCAGCAGCAGCTGTGGTGTACAATGGCCTTGTAGTATGCGCAATGATTGTCGTCGTTGTCTGCACACGTGCTGTGGAGTGTGCGCAGGGAACTTTGTGAAACATGTACTGACATGCGCGCAGGCGCTATGGTGCGCACAGACAGTTTTGTGGTGTACACCAGCACTGTGGTGCACAAAGGCGTTGTGGTGTACATAGGCACTGTGGTGTATGCAGGCACTGTGGTGTACACGGGCTTTGGAGATCACACCGGCCCAGTGGTACACGCAGGCATTGTGGTGTTCACAGGCGCTGCGGTTCACGCTGGCATCGTGGTGAACGCAGGCATTGTGGTGTACCATGGAGGTGCGTTCGCGGGCATAATGGCGCGCACAGGAGCTACGTCCGCTGCTTGTGGCTACTCTCAGCAATCTCCTGCACAATGTGCCCAGCTATCTTTTTGGCAAATCCCCACCTACATGCTTATCCTAGTTGTCCTTCGCTATCCCTGGGCATTCCCAGACGGCGCCAGCGCGTCATCGGCAATGGGGTGGGGACGATACCGGCCGTCGCGGATAGTTTCAGAACCATCTAAGGATTTTCCATTTTTCCTCTGCTGCTCGAGTGCATGTCCGTCTCCCCCTCTGTTCATAGAAGTTCTTTGCGCCCCCCCCCTCTCCTGCACTCGTCTACACGTCGCATTCGTATGTTCTGTAACCACATCGCTTCAATGTATTGGTGTACGTGTGCGCCAACCGCTACGTATTACGTGGGCCCACGCGAGTTCTACGGTCTGCTGCGGGTTCGTGGTAACTCTTTCGCTCTCTCTCCTATCTTCCCACTGGCCCTTCTCGTGCCCTCTCTGCCCCCCGCTTCACGACGATCGTCGCATCTTTCCCGCATGCTGTGCCGATCATGCCGACGCGAGCTTGTTGTTTGGACTCCACGCCACTGTGGAGGTCGGAAAGGGGTGTGGCATACAGGGGTATGGTGCCAATCGTGGTAGTTGCGATGCTATCTGCGATAATCACATCGCCAGAGTCCCCTTTTACAAGAGCTAACACCACCATCCTTTTATACCATACCCCTTCCCTGCACATTGCTCATGTCTGATTATTCGACAATTCCTTGATCTTCTGGGCGGCCAAGATCCTCTCATCTCTGATTGTGCCACCCTGGGCCTCTTCCTGGCCACTGACACGAGCACGATGTGAGCACGATTCGAAATTCACGATGCGCACCTCCAGAGCCACGACGAGCGGAGGGCGCCTGGGCCCTTCCGGGGGCCTCCCCGCCAGGGGGCGATGGCGGGGCCGCAGCCGGGCTCCTGAGGGCCGCGGCGGCGGCGGCCGACGAGCCACCGGCCCCGCGGCCCGCGGGCGCGGCCTCCGCCGCGGCCGCCCTCGAGGCGCCGCCCGGCGGGGAGCTGCTCGTGCTGCAGGGGCTGTCCCTGAGTGTGCCGCGGGGGCGCTTCGACGTGGCGCTGGGCACGGCTGAGGGGCCTGCTTTTTCCACCACCACCACCGCCAGAAGCCGGAGGGGGAGGGGGTCCTCCTCCTCCTCCTCCTCCTCCTCCTCCTCCTCCTCCCCATCCAGCTTATGGTGGTGGTGGTGGAAAACAGGCCCATCAACAGCTGGGCTGGCGCTGCGCGGCAAGGTTGCGGGTGGAAGTCCGGAGCTCTCGCGGAGCAAGCTCGGGTGTCGTTGGCAGGCCTCGGGTGCCGCGCCGCGCGCGGAGCCGAGCCTGGCCAGGGTCCCCGGTGCGAGTTTCTCGCGCAGGAGCGTTGGGTTTCGGCCTGTCGCAAGGGGCAGGGCACGAAGTGCCTGGCCGTGCCGTGGACGGACATCACCCACCTCGTCAAGCTGGCGAAGCCAACCCCTTACAGCAAGGGTGCTGAGGCGACGGCCTGGAATCTCGTCCTTCCCTTGAGGGCCCCCCTCGAGGTCGGCAAGCAGTCGATGAGGTGCGTCGTGCTCAACGCGTCAAGCGCGAGCAGACCCCCCAGCAGTGGCAGCAGCAAGGCGGCGGTGTGCAAGGGTGAGGAGGCCGACACGGAAGCCGGCCACCGCGCGGCGCGCCTCGAGTCTGCGCTCGCTGCTGCAACACCCGACGAGCCCGAGCACAGATTTCTCACCCGCCTCCTGGCTGCGGCTACTGACCTTGCTGTGCACGAGAGCGAGGAATGCGTGTGCCCGGTTGAGTTCGTGAAGGCCTACCGAGGCGTCGACGACGGGCAGTTGTACCCCCTGCGCGCAGGGCTGTGTTTCCTCACCAGGTCAGGCAGACTCAAAGTCCAGGGGTGTAGCGTAGGGCAGTGGTGCCAAGGAGCAGGGGCAGAGGGGCTCTCCTGGATTTCAGCGGGCGCCCAGACACATGTCCGCATATCTCTTACGGACGTGGGAAACGTACCTTTCACTGATACCACAATCGACAGACAATGAGCCCTTGACCTTCACAAACCCCTCAGTTGATTGGAGGGAAAAGAGGCTGAGAACCTCGATCGCCGAGCAGGTCGTCGTCAGTTTCGGCCAGACTGAACAAAGAAGGAACAGACACCAGTTCTACTTTTGATAAAGGCTACCCTGGACGTTCCCATGAGGAAGGTCGGGGCACAGGGAGGATTGGAGAGGTGGAGGAGGAGGATGTGAAGAAGGAGAAGGACATGAGGAGGAGGAGAAGGAGGAGGAAGCTGAGGAGGTGGACGATGTTGACGATGCTGCTGATGATGATGATGACGCTGGTATTGATGGTAATGATGGTGATGCTGAGGCTGTGGATGATGATGATGATGGTGGTGATGATGATGATGCTACTGACGCTGATGATGATGATGATGACAGCAAAGGCGACGATGATGACGATGATGATGCTGCTGATGCTGATACTGATGATGATGATGATGATGATGGGTCTGATGATGATGCTGATGATGGTATTGACACTGCTGACGACGATGACGATGCTGTTGATGGTGATGATGGTTCTGAGTATGACGATGGTGATGACGATGATGATAATACTGATGCTGATAATGGCGATGTTGACAATGATTAATGATCACTATGACGATGGTGATGCTGATGCTGATGCTGATGATGATAATGGTGGTGATGATGATGGTGGTGGTTGTTGTGGTGATGTGAATGATGATGATGCTGCTGATGATGATGATGATGGTGATGCGGATGATACTGCTGCTGTTGTTGATGATGATGATGGTGATAATGATGGTGATGATGGTTATCATGATGCCGACGGTGATGATTTGATTGATGACGATGATGATGAGGCTGTTGTTGGTACTGATTGATGACGACGATGATCACGATGCCGACGACGATGCTGACGAATCTGATGATGCGGATACTATTGCTGCTTCTGCTGATGGTAATGACGATGATGGCGACACTGACGATAAATATGATGATGATAGTGATGATGATGAGGCTGATGCTGATGATGCTGACGATGACGATGATGATGCCGACGAACATGACGATGCTGATGGTGATGATGATGGCGATGGTGATGCTGATGACGAGGATGACGATGTTGATGATGATGACGATGATGATGATGCTGACGATGACGATGCTGATGTTGACGGTGATGTTGATGTTGGTGGTGGTAATGCTGCTGCTGTTGATGATGATGGTGACGACGACGACGATGATGATGATGATGATGCTGACGCTGCTGATGACGATGATGCAGATGATGATGCTGATGATGCTGATCATGAGTATGAGGCTGGTGATGCTGATGTTATTACTGGTGATGATCATTCCGCTGCTGCTGCTGATGATGATGATGATAGTGATGATCATGCTGATGGATGATGATGCTGATGATGATGCTGATGATGACGCTGGCGATGATGATGATGATGATGATTACGATGACAATGAGGCTGACGAGGATTTCAATGACGTTGATGCGGCTGATGGTGATGACCTATAATATGATGCCAGTGGTGTTGATGCTGATGCTGATGCTGCTGATGAGGATGATCCTGATGTTCATGATGCGATTGATGATGGTGATGATGATGATTATGATGATGATGATGTTGATGGTGGTGATGATGATGCCGATGTTGACGATTATGATGATGCTGATGATGATGATGATGGTGGTGGTGGTGGGGATGATGATGATGCTGCTGATGATGATGATGATGACGATTGTGGTGGTAGTGGTGATGACAATTATAATAATGTTGCCGATGATGATGATGATGGCGATGACAATGATGATGATGATGATGATGATGATGATGATGGGGATGATGCTGATGAGGATGATGATGACGAGGATGATGATGGTGATGCTGATGATGATGACGACGATGATAATGATGATGATGACGATGATGATGATGGCGATGATGATGATGATGATGATGATGATGATGATGATGATGATGATGATGATGATGATGATGATGATGATGGTGGTGATGATGATGATGATGATGATGAGGATGATGATGATGATGAGGATGATGCTGATGATGCTGATGTTGTTGATGATGATGATGATGATGATGATGATGATGATGATGATGCTGAGGATGATGATGATGATGATGATGATGATGGAGGTGGACGTGGTGCCGATGAGGATGTTGGTGGTGTTTGTGGTGGTGGTGGTGATGACGAGCAGGAGGAGGAGGAGGAGGAGGAGGAGGAGGAGGAGGTGACGCAAGCAGGTGCCCGAAGGCGCTGCTTCCAGCCGCGGGGTGAACTGGAGGCCGTCCAGACTTGGGGATCCGCCCAGGGAGCTCTGAGTTCGAGGCCCTCGGGGAGTCGTCTGTTGCCAGCGCCCTCGCGCCGAGGGCACCTCAGACTCCGCGAGGCCACGGCACCTCGGTCCCTGCCCGCTGCAAAGGGGGGCTCGGGGAGCCGTCTGCCAGCCCGGGGTTGGCCTCGGGAGGGGGAGGAGCTGCAGCAGCAGGAGGGGGTGGAGGAAGAAGGGGGAGGAGGAGGAAGAGGAGGGAGGGGAAGAAATGGGAGTGTCGGGGAGTAGCAGCAGCAAGAGGAGGAGGAGGAGGAGGAGGAGGAGGAGGAGGACGACGAGGAGGAGGAGGAGGAGGAGCAAGAGGACCAGCGTGAACCCAAGAGTCATCAACGATGTCGGAGTGAACCCTCCCTCAAGCTCCTTTTTCAGAGGCCCCTGCAACGGTTCATTTCCATTGATGGAACTGCCTCGTCGGAAGACGCCCGTTTGAAGACACTGAAGCATGCCAAAACATTGTTCTCGGGATTCCACCGCCACGGATCAATCTGACTGTTGCGTCTTGAGGATCCAGACTCATGCCAGAAAGCAATGCAGATGGTTCTAGCACAGGGAACCAATGTAATTGCTGCACCCGCATAATCCTGAATCCTTCCAAAACGCCATTTCTGGAATCCGTGCAACTCTTGAACATGTTTGAAAATGAGTGCCCGCGGCGCTAATGCGAGAACCACATTAAAAAAACAAGGAACCGCCCTCAATCCGTTAAGTTCTTGCAGATCTTTAGAAACGAATATGCGCGGCGCTATGGCGAGAGCCACATTCTTAAAACTACCCGCCCTCAATCCGTGAACGCCTTGCACATGTTAAAAGCGTTTGTGTGCCGCTCTCAAGCGAGAGCAACATTTTGAAAACTGCCCGCCCTCAATCCGTGAAACACTTGCAAATCTTAACGAATGTGCGCCGCGCTACGGCGACAGCCACATTTTGAAAACCACCCGCCCTCCACATGTGAAGCGATCGGCAAGTTTTCAGCGTCAGAGTCATACATGGCGAGGAAGTGTCAGGCGAAACGCCTGGCCTTCTCTAGAAACTGGCTTCGAGGTGCGACACGGAGTATTTATAAGGAGAAGGAATGGAGGAGGAGGAGGAGGAGGAGGAGGAGGAGGAGGAGGATAAGGATGTGGTGGAGGAGGAGGAGGGTGAGGGGGGAGGAGGAGGAGGAGGAGGAGGAGGAGGAGGAGGAGGAAGGAGGAGGAGGAGGAGGGGAGGGGGAGGAGGAGGAATAGGAGGAGGAGGAGGTGGAGGGGAAGGGGGAGGGGGATGGGGAGGGGGAGCGGTGGGGGAAGATGTGCGAGGACGAAGGGAGGAGGGAAACGAGTAAGGGAGGAGATGGTCGGATGGAGCAGGGGCGACGAGGGAGGATGAGGGAGGGGGGAGGCCTAGCCTGCCGCGAGGCCCGCTCGGACCTTGTTCCTGCCGGCGCAGGACATCGCCTCCATCGAGTGCTCCAGCCGGGCGGCCTCGACGGCCGACCTGGCCGTCTCTTGCGGCGGCACCAGCGAGGTCTTCTCGAACATCGCCAACGATGACCTCCTCCTCTCCGAGGCCAGACTCTGGACTAGCCATGGAGGGAAGCGGGCCCATAGTTTCGCTCGAATGTTTCAGGCCCTCGGGGCCATCCACGGGCTCCAGGGCTGCCACGACACGGCTCAGGACGAAGCGCTAGTCTTGGGAAGAGGCTTGGAATCTTTCACGCGCATGTACGTATCCACCGCCTGGGCAGCCGCCGTCCCAGGACGGACATGGGCATCTCTGACCCCGCCGCGGGGACCCGCAACCAGGACCCCGCCCCGCAGAGCGGTGCGGCACGCTGTCCGCTTGCAAGGTGCTGCCGTGCCGCGCTGAGCAGACGTAGATTCCGGCCTCGGATCCTCCTCCGCGGCTTCATGAGGGTGCTGAAGGTCGGACGGGGCTAGGACGAAGAATTTCTCGTTGCGGAGCGCTCGCGCCGCGGTGCCCGAGACAGTCTCCAGAGCCGCCCGATCTCAGAGATTCTCGTTTTATCCTCATTCTATGTTCTCCTCGTCCTGGCTTCGTCTTCGAAAGGAGGCGCGCGGGGACGGCGCTGCGGCGGCCGGCGGTGGGGAGGAGGACGAGGAGGCGGACGAGGACTACGAGCCAGAGGAGTGCGGGGTGGCGCGCCCGGGGCGGGGCACGGAGTCCAAGGGCTCCCTCGAGGGCGCGAAGTTATTCGCGCTTCGCGCTTCGCGGTCCTCGTTCTTTCTCCCCCCTCCTCCTCGTCCTCCTATTCTCCCTTTGGGGGGGCGGCGCGAGGGCGCGAAGTTATTCGCGCTTCGCGCTTCGCGGGGCGCGAAGCGCGAAGTTGGGAGCCCTAGCCTGCCCACGTGCACCGTTGTGGAGCCGTGGTCTGGGGTCGCGAGGGGCTGGGCAGCGCTCGGGCTCGAGCAGTGGCGGAGCGCCCTGGCGTGCCTACAGGCCCACCCAAGAATTCAGGAGGGGAAAAAACACACACAGGCACAATGAATCGTCGATTCCGAGGAAAACATGGGAAAAGATGGGATGTGGGGGGGGGGAAGACAGAAACCCAGAAGATATTGAAAAATATGGGGAGTCTTATTATTTGTGTGTATTTATTTCTGTGTTTGTGGGCCCCTTCAAGAATGCTCTGAGAACCTTTTATGGTTCGCACGGGATGTTCTTAGAGAACAGTTTTGGTTGGGGCTGGCGTGTTTTGACACATCGGCATGTTCTTCGAACGTTATCGGGTTCTAAGCACCTGTCGTGGTAGGCCAACAGGGATGCCGGGATGGCCGGTCTTTGCTCAACGAACGTGTACATTTTTCCCCTGCGGGGGCCATCGAGGAGCATCTTGGATCATTTGGCAGCAAAAAAGCATGCACGGCGCCGAGACACGCTCGGGGAATGGACGTTCGAGCGATAGCAAGGGGGTGGTGGATCTGGGTATCTGCCTGCTCGCATGGGCGCGCAGAATCCACATCTCGGCCACGCGCAGAGGGGGCAGGAGTTTGGGGGGGCGGGCCACTTCAAGGCGCCCCTGCTTCTCAACAGGAGCGTGCCTTGTCTGTACCTGCAGGGCCGGCGCCTTCTAAGCAGCAGTCTCCTTCGTAGAAGCCGCCCATCCTCCCCCTTGCCCCCCTTGTGGGCGCCGCCAAGTATCCACCGCTCCCCGAGCCCCCGAGGCACGACCCCGCGGCTGTTGACCTGGGTATCTTCCCGCGGCGCAGGGGGGGCGAGGTGGGGGCGGCCGTGTGGGAAGCCGGGGCGGCTTCTCGCAAGCGCTGCCGTCTTCTCAGAGGCTTCTTTGCTCAGAGGAGGGAAACGCACCTTGGGAGAGGTCCGGGGAGTAGCAGCATGGGTAACTCTTCGTTTCCCCACTTGTGGTCAGGAACTTTGGTTCGGTGTGTCTTGGCGGCGCGCAAAGGGGGTAGGGGGATGGTGGGAGGCTTCTCAGGAGTGCTTCTTAGAAGGCGCCGGCCTTACATCTACAGACAATGCCCGCGCCTTCTCAGAAGCAGGGGCGCTTCTAAGGAGCCTTCCCCCCTCCCCCTATCCCCTTCTGCGCGTGGCTGAGTGGTGCGCCGCTGCTTCTGGCCCACTACGTTTTCTCCTCCGCCTCTTCCTTCTCCTCCTCCTCCTCCTCCTCCTCCTCCTCCTCCTCCTCCTCCTCCCCCTCCTCCTCCTCGACTCAGCCTGAGCAGAAATTGACTCCTTCCCGCCAGCGCGAGCAGCGCTACTCGCCGCTCGATCGCCTCAGAGCGCGATGTGCTGGAGTGCGCCGCAGGCGGACTCCCTCGACGAGAAGGCGCATTATCGCCGACCCTTCCGCTGCACCGGGCGCGTCCACCGCCTGGTCCAGCCAGGCGCGGAGGCGGTCGACGGGCCAGCCCACGAAGTGGGGCCTGAAAGCGGCCATGCGGGCCCCAGACGTGTTGACCCACTCCGAGACCACCGCGGCCTCGATCGAGGCCTCGTCCTCGGCGCTCTCCACCTCCGCGCCGGCAGCAGCAGCCGCCGCAGGCGCACACTCCGCGGGCAGTATGGCACCCTCCCCCTCGCCGCCGAGACCTGCTCCAGGCGACTCACGAGTGGAGGGTGCCACGGCGGCACCTGCGGGCACCCGCGCACCAGCCGCGGGCAGCGCCAGGGGCGCGGTAGCGGCGGGCGCATCGGCCCACTCGTCCTCGATGGAGCCGTTCGTCCGCATGCCGTCGTCGTCCGCCTTGGTGACCGCCGCACCAGCAGCAAGCGCATCAGCAGCACGTCGACGTCGGCGCCCTCGCCGACGCGCCGCCTTGGCCGCCGCAGCGGCAGACGGCGCATCAGGTTCGCGACCAGCAGCCCCAGGCTCAGCGCCCCGCGCGCCAGGCGGCGCAGCAGCTGCGGAGGCAGCAGCCGCGATCGCCGCGCGCACGACAGTGGTCAGGGAGCGGTGCGAGGCCTTTGCCTCGACGGCGGCCCGCACGGCGGCGCCAACCAGCAGGGCGGCGTCGGGGCCAGACAGCAGCCCCATCCCACGTGCGAGGCGCGCGCGGCCGATCCCGCGCGAGCACCTCGAGCAAACGGGTACGGATGCCCAAACCCCACGAGATCCCCGAGGGGGGACGTGGGGCTTGAGCCCAATGGCTGCGGATCTCCTCCTCCTCCTCCTCCTCTTCCTCCTCCTCCTCCTCCTTCCCCAACCCTCCTCCTCCTCTTGCGCTTGGCACGCTATCCACGTCCGCGTTCCCAGGCGTCCCTGCTCCCTGCCTGCTGTCTCCGCCTGGCCCCTCTTCCGCCTGTCCGCCCGCCCCGCTGGCCCGTGCCACCCGCCTGCGCGTTCTTGGTCGTCTGCCTGCTTCTCCCCTCCTCGTCCCCTTCCGCCGGGCAGCACAGCCTGCCCGGGCCAGCATGGCGGCGTTTAGGGCTTCAGCGGGGACCGATTTTAGGCTTTCTTGCAGATGTTCGTTTGCGTTCCCATGGGGGGTCCTTTAGAGCAGTGGTGTGGCTTGTTTGGAGCTTCTTGGGGGCTCCTAAGACCATCTTGAGTGCTCCGGAGGTTGTTCGGATGCATCGGCGCCTTTCTGAAGCCGTCTCGGAAGGCGGCGGAGGCTGGACTTGGAGGCTCCGAGGCCTGGGAGAGGCGCCGGCGAGATTCCGGATCCCCCCCCCTCGCCCCCTCAAACGAGATCTTGGACCCAAGGGGGGTGGGAAAGGGAGAGGGGAACAGCCAATCATCTCACACCCATTTTAGTTACCCATGGCAATCGAGGGTCGGCAGATGTTAGTCTCCCTGGCGTAGCGCATGTCACCCCCCCTCCCCTCGGGCGAAGTAGCACGGCGACCATGATTCGGATGTCGCGGAATCTAGTCGTCGCTGGCTTTGGTCACGGTCCATGTCGGACGTCGCCGATTCGCGAGGATGATCCACGGATCGGCGCTGACCAAGGTCGACGGTGACCAAGATCGAAGCGACGCTTCCGCGCTCAGTCTGTGTCATGGTCCCCGTTCTCTTCCCCTCCATCCCCCCGTAACGGTAAAGGAACGCCCAGAAGCAGTCCACAGGCACGCGTTGGCGCTCACGGACGGTGCCGCGGCGCTCGCGAGCATTCGCGGCACACCGTCGTGCGCACGTGCGGTGTTCGCAGACTGTGCTGCCAGGGTCTGGCACATTTCCGTGCACGGTGCCCTGCTCGTAGGCATCACGTGGTATGGCCAACGGTCGACAGCCAGCTCGGGGGGAGGTGGGAGGGGGCGGGCCTCCTCAGAAGGCTCGGAAGTCCCCGGGCATTCGGAGAGGTTTGCTCAGTTTCCCCCGAATGCACGGAAAACAAAACTCTTACACAACCGGCACGAGAGCTCCTGACAACTCCCGCCGCCGATGTGTTCGCCCCCCCTCCTTCTCCTTCGCACTTCTCCTTCTCGCTTCCACCCTCGCCCGCCGCCGACTTTTCCAAGGGGGGCAGCGCATGTTGGCCTTTGGTCGGCTACACGCAAGAGTGACCCTGGGTACGAGTGACCCTTGGTGCGCAGCTTCCGGGGGGCGCGAGGGGGGCCAAACCCACGCGCGCAGGCCGCTGCCATCACGTCGCGCTCAGGGATCGGTGGGGGGGGCTGATGGGCGCCCGCACCAAAGATCACTCCGCCGAAGGGTCACTCTTACAGTCGGCCTTGATTAGTAGGTCGACCCTGCCAGATCCAGGGTACCCTCGTGTCCTGTGCCTCGCGACGCGTGCCTCCTGACACTCCTACGGCAACGTGGCCCTTGCAAGGGTCTTGTGTCCTCTCGCGTGTCCTCTCCAATCGAGCTCGACTGTACGTGTAAACGCGTAGCAGACCGAGTTCAGGCATCTAGATACTTGAGACTAGCGATCCTCTGGATTACCTTTCGAGTGCTGTGCCGAACAGCTCTCTAGCGCATCTGCAGCTCGATTTGAGTTGAGAAAATCATCATCACCTCTTAAAATTAGTAGAGTCCGAATAGTTTGTTGGTTCCAGATCTGGTAGCAGACCAACTTCAGCCATCTAGATACTTGGAACCAGCGGTTTTGACGATTCATTACCTTACGATGCCTGTGCCGAACAGCTCTGGAGCTCATCTGCAGCTCGAGTTGCATTGTCGAGGCGGGTGCCCAGGGGGCGCCGGCGGCGGGGGGGTGGCACGGCGAAGGCGGCGGCGGCGCGGTGGCACGGCAGAAGACCTGACCCTCTCGGCGGCGAGCGAGCGAGGATGGGGGGGGTGAGAGCGAGCGGGAGGAGGCCTGCTGATGGAGCAGGGGCCGACCGTCCCGGCACTCCTATGGGCCTACCACGCAATGTTCTTAGAATCGGGATCGGACAAGAGAGGGGTGATGACTAGGGGGGGGGGATTTCATGGCGCGGGCCATGATTTTTCCTGAGATTTCATGGCGCCTCTTCTTATTGAATCGCTTCGCTCATTCCGCCGGCCCGTGATATGGCATCGCTGGTTTTTGTCTGTGTGTTCGTTGCCCATGTTGCGCTCTTGGGGGCGGGTGTCGTTCGGACGCGTTGCGTGGGGAGTTTTGATGGTGAAGCAGTTCCCTGGGGGTCGTCTCTCGATGGGGCGAAATAGAGTCGTCGTCAAGATGCTTCTTTGGGGGGCCTCTTGGGGTCTGTTGAGAGGCCGTTCGGGGGCGCCTGGGAGACATGTTTGAAGCCTTCTGGGGCTTCTTTTGGGCCTCCTGGGAGTCTCCTGGGGCCTCTTGGCGACATCTTGGGGCCTCTTGGAGGCCTCTTGGGGCCTCTTTGGGACCTCCTGGGCGCCTTCTGGGACGGAGGGCTCCATTTTTGAGTTCTCGGTATCCCTCCTGAGTCCCTCTTGGGCCCGTCTTGGGGCCTCTTGGTCCGTCTTGGGCGGCACTTGGGCCGTCTTGAGGGCTCTCTTGGGTCGTTTCGGCGCCGTCTTGGGAGCTTCGTGGGCCGTCTTGGAGCGGTCTTGGGGGCCTCTTGGGCCGTCTTGGAGCGTCCGGAAGCCGAAAAAGCCAGAACACAAAACACATCGAAAAAACTAATGAAAATCAACGATTTTGGCCTCTTGGGGCTCTCTTCGGAGGCCTCTTGGAAGGCTCTTGGGGCGTCTTGGAGGCCTCTTGGGCTGTCTTGGGGGCCTTTTGGGCCGTCTTGGGGTCATCTTCGGCGTCTTCGAGCGCTCTTTGGGCGTCTCGGGGGCCTCTTGGGCAGTCTTGGGGGCCTCTTGGGGCACTCTGAGCGCGCTCTGGGGAGCCTGAGAGGCCGCACCCAGAAGGAAAACCATCTCTGAGTAGACTTGGTCGGGCGGCGGTCGGGCGGCGACCGGGCGTTGGTCGGGGTACTTTTCGCCGGGGGACCCCCAGGGGCCGCCCCGCGCGCGCGAACTAGAAATACTGTTAATACTGTTAACCAGTTACCGGAGATCTTAGCACGCCCTGGCCCGTTGGGCCGGCGAATTTCATTACGTCCCAGGCCCCCCCGCTGGGCCGCGCACATGCCGCCGGTCATGATTTGCACCCCCCCCTCTTGGACACCCCCCTCTTGGCCGCTCCCGAAAAAGCACAAGGTTCTTTACTCATAAACCCGATGTGTTCAGACAAAAAATATATCCTTCAGAGCTGTTCTACAAACAGTTCGTGCGGACTGCAGCATGTTCTCAGGCAAGCAGGGGCGCTTCGCCACTTCTTGATCTAAGGAGGGCTGCGGGGCTTTTGAGAAGCCGAAGCCCCCTGGCCATCTGAGGAGTGTTCGGTGCCCCGTGAGGTCCTGGCGTTGTATTTGTTTTTTTACACCAGGCGTTTTTGTTCGCCCTCTCACAGCTCGCTGCGGCTTGATAAGGTTCAGGAGAAAGATGGGGTCCAGGGCTCCGGTCGTGACTTGAATGCCCGGGGACTTCCGAGCCTTCTGAGGAGGCCCGCCCCCTCCCACCTCCCCCCGAGCTGGCTGTCGACCGTTGGCCATACCACGTGATGCCTGCGAGCAGGGCACCGTGCACGGGAAGGTGCCAGACCCTGGCAGCACAGTCTGCGAACACCGCACGTGCGCACGACGGTGTGCCGCGAATGCTCGCGAGCGCCACGGCACCGTCCGTGAGCGCCAACGCGTGCCTGTGGACTGCTTCTGGGCGTTCCTTTACCGTTACGGGGGGATGGAGGGGAAGAGAGAACGGGGACCATGACCCAGAGTGAGCGCGGAAGCGTCGCTTCGATCTTGGTCACCGTCGACCTTGGTCAGCGCCGATCCGTGGATCATCCTCGCGAATCGGCGACGTCCGACATGGACCGTGACCAAAGCCAGCGACGACTAGATTCCGCGACATCTGAAGCATGGTCGCCGTGCTACTGCGCCCGAGGGGAGGGGGGGGGACACGCGCTACGCCAGGGAGACTAACATCTGCCGACCCTCGATTGCCACGGGTAACTAAAATGGGTGTGAGATGATTGGCTGTTCCCCTCTCCCTTTCCCACCCCCCTTGCGTCCAAGATCTCGTTTGAGGGGGGGGGGGATCCGGAATCTCGCCGGCGCCTCTCCCAGGCCTCGGAGCCTCCAAGTCCGCCGCCTCCACGCTGCCCAAGATGCCTTCCGAGAGGCCTCCACGCTGCCCGAGATGGACCGTGACCAAAGTCAGCGACGACAAGATCCCTTCTCACTTCCCCGCGCTCCCTGGCCCCCGCCCCTCGCCCTCGCCCCCCCTCCCCACCGCACCTCGCTCGGCGCGCCGCCAGAGGAGGGCCTGACGGACGGCGACGACATGGAGCCTGGCGAGGACGCTCCGCCCTCCTGCCTCCTCCCTCCTGCCTCCTCCCTCCTCCCTCCTGCCTTCTCCCTCCTGCCTCCTGCCTCCTCCCTCTTCCCTCCTCCATCGTTCCTCCTCCCTCCTCCCGTCTCCAGGTCGAGCAATGGTGAAACATCCTGGCTTGCCCATAGGCCCCCCAAGTCATGTTCTAAGAACCCTTTGTGGTCTGCACGAAATATTCTCAGAGCGTTCTTAGGACATGTCTGGCTGAGACCATGCTGTGCCAAGGATTTGGGTGTATGTTCTGGGCACGTGGTTTTTGGCATTCGGACCGTCTCTGGTTCTGAGGACATGTCGTGGAAGGCCTACAGGAATGCCGGGACGGTCGGTCCCTGCTCAACTCAGATGGCCTCCTCCTCATGTTCGGTTTCTGCTTTTCGTAGCTGCTGGGTCGGTCTTCGCCACGGTCAGCCCGGGCTCCTGCCAGGATGGTGTCGGGGGTCTGGTCTGGAAGGGCGGAGGTGGAAGAAGAGGAAGGGTTCCCACGGCGGGCTGTCAGAGTTGGGGCCTCGTCGATGGGGGGGTCCACTCGAGGAGTCGGGCGAATTGCAAGAGTCTTGGGGCCATCGGGAGTAAAAATAACCCCTATCCCTGCGAGCACAGTGAAGACGTGGCCTCACTGAGGTCCCCGTCGTCTTTGCATTAGGGATTTCAGTTCTGGGCGGTTTGGTTCGGTACACCTGCAGAAAAGACCCCCTATCCCTAATGATTTTGGCCCACCTAACTTAGGTTCCCTCCCGAGCGGGGGCCGTGCCAGGGGCGGGCCGCCCGCTTGGCCACAGGACGCGGCCGCCGCGGCGAGTGGTGGGGCCGCGTCGTCGTCGGGCCCCGCTGCCAGGCGCTCCAGAGGACGCCTGTGGGAGAAGGAGGAGGAGGAGGAGGAGGAGGAGGAGGCGGAGGAGGAGGAGGAGGAGGAGGAGCAGGAGCAGGAGCAGGAGCAGGAGCAGGAGCAGGAGCCGGAGGAGCAGGAGGAACAGAGGGAGCAGGAGGAGAAGAAGAGGATGAGGAGGAGGAGGAGGAGGAGGAGGAGGCGGAGGCGGAGGCGGAGGCGGAGGAGGAGAAGGTGGAGGATGCGGAGGAGGAGGCGGAGGAGGAGGAGGAGGAGGATGAGGAGGAGGAGGAGGTGCCTGGGACCGTGTAAAGGACTGGGTTAGCGTTTTGAAAAGGGACGAGCGAGGGATACACCAGGAGAGAGAGAGAGAGAGAGAGAGAGAGAAAGAGAGAGAGAGAGAGCGAGAGAGAGAGAGAGAGAGACAGAGCGAGGCGGTAAGAGAAACCGCGCTTGAACACCTTTGACTTAGTTGTTATGTAGAGGTCCACGTTTATGTTGACGAAACTGTGGATGTAGATGCTAGTGTAGTTATAGAGTGTTCTGTTGGGGCCTGTGGCGGAATCCGTCGCTTGTCTTTGAATTCGAATCCACATAGAACTCCTCTGGCTCTGAATCAGTTTTCTTCATACTGAACTCGCATTACAAGCTCATTCGGTTCCAATCGAAATCCTTGTGTGGGTGAATGGTGCTGTTTTCCAATGGCAGTCACAGATTTCCCTGATGCGGGGCCACGAAACCTGTGCCACCCCACACAACACAGAACACACCAAACACACATTACCACCACACAACTGTGACATTCCTTCTTAAACACAAAAGTCAAACTGTTTTCGCAACTTCGGACTTGCAAGCTGGAGGACGCAGGATGAGGTCGAGACGCGAACGAACATTTGTGTTTTGTTGTGTCCTCACCTGTTTCCTTGATGTTGGGCCACTGAGCCTGGGACAATCCTGAATACGGGCTGGCGCAGGAGGAGGAGGAGGAAGAGGGGGAGGATGGGGAACAGGAGGAGGAGGAGGAGGAGGAGGAGGAGGAGGAGGAGGAGGAGGAGGAGGAGGAGGAGGAGGAGGAGGAAGGGGAGGGGGTGATGGCGAGCATGAAAGGAAAGGGAATGATGGGGGAGTGGGAGGGGGAGCAGGAGGAGGAGGATGAGGAGGAGGACAATGATGAGGAGGCGGAGAAGGAGGAGGAGGAGGAGCAGGAGGAGGAGGAGGAGCAGGAGGAGGACGATGAAGACGAGGAGGAGGACGAGGAGGAAGGGGACGGGGAGGGGGATGAGGAGGAGGAGGAGGATGGGAGGAGGAGGAGGAAGAGGTGGAGGAGGCGGAGGCGGAGTAGGAGGAGGAGGAAGAGGAAGAGGAGGAGGAGGAGGCGGCGGATGCGGAGGTGGTGGCGCGGGCGGGGGCGGGGGCGGAGGCGGAGGCCGAGGCGGCGGCGGAGGCGGAGGCCGAGGCGGGGGCGGACGCGCAGGCGGAGGAGGAGGAGGAGGAGGAGGAGGAGGAGGAGGACGAGGCGGAGGCGGAGGCGGAGGCGGAGGAGGCGGCGGAGGAGGAGGAGGCGGACCCGGATGCGGAGGCGGAGGAGGAGGTGGGCGAGGCGGAGGTGGAGGCGTAGGTGGAGGCGGAGGAGGAGGCGGAGGAGGAGGCGGAGGAGGAGGAGGAGGAGGCGATGACGGAGGAGGAGGCGGAGGCGGAGGAGGAGGTAGAGGCAGAGGAGGAGGCGGAGACGGAGGCGGAGGCGCAGGAGGAGGAGGAGGAGGAGGAAGAGGAGGAGGATGACGAAGATGCGGACGACGAGGAGGATGAGAAGGAGGAGGAGGAACAGGAGGAGGAGGAGGAGGAGGAGGAGGAGGAGGAGGAGGAGAACCAGTGGAAACCCAAGGGTCATCAGCGATGTTGGAATTAACCCTCCCCTAGAGCGGCTCATTTCCATTGAGGAGGCTGCCTCGTTGGAAGACAAAACATTGTGCTCGGGATCTCAACGCGACGTATCAACCTGACTACTGCGCCTTGACGGTCGTGCCAGAACGCCACTCTTGGGACTTCAACACAGCGAAGTAACATAATTGCTGCGCTGCATAATCCTGAATCCTTCCAAGGCCATTTCTGATACGCTGATCATGGGAACCCGTGAACCTCTTGCAACGTTAAAAAAAACGGATGCACGCGGCGGTAAGGCGAGAGCCACATTTTGACGGAGACGCCCTCAATCCGTGAAGCTGCATCAAAGTTTTTAAAAAAGAGTGCGCGTGACGCTTAGGCGAGAGCCACATGTTGAAAACCACCCGCCCTCAACACGTGAATATGTTGCATCTTTTAAGAGCGAGTGAGCGCGGCGCTAAGGCGAGAGCGACATTTTGAAAACCACCCGCCCTCACTCCGTGAAGCTCTTGCACAATTTTAGAACGGATGTGTGCGGCGCTAAGGCGTGGGCCACATTTTGAAAACCACCCGCCCTCAATCCGTGAAACAACTGCACATTCTTAAAACGGATGTGCGCGGCTTTGAGAGGCGAGAGCCACATTTTGAAAACGATCCGCCTTGAATCCGTGAAACCCTTGCAAATGCTTGAACGAATGTGCGCGGCGCAAAGGCGAGAGCCACATTTTGAAAACCACCCGCCCTCAATCCGTGAAGCTCTTGCACATCAGAAAACGGATGTGCGCGGCGCTAAGGCGAGAGCGACATTTTGAAAACCACCCGCCCTCCATCCGTGAAGTTCTTGTCAGTTTTCAAGCTTCAGGCTCAGTTGGGAAGTCACAGGCGACTCGCCCGGCCCGCCCTAAAAATTGGCCTCGGGGTGCGACAGGGAGAAGTTATCTATGAGGAGAAGGAATGGGGGAGGAGGAGGAGGAGGAGGAGGAAGAGGAGGAAGAGGAGGAGGAAGAGGAGGAGGAGGAGGAGGAGGAGGAAGAGGCGGAGAAGTAGGAGGAGGAGGAGGAAGTGGAGGAGGGGGAGGAGCGGGTGGGAGGGTAGGAAGAGGAGGAGGAAAGGCGGGGGGGGGGGGGCCGCCCAGTCTGGGGGCGGGGGGGCAGGGGCAACGTTAGGGGGGGGTTGGCTCAGAGTAGAAGTGCCCCGATGGCCGCGGCAGTTGTCGGGGGTTTTCGGGGTCCGCGGTGGATTCCGTCAAGCGCGCCTCGTTGAGGGTGTGCCGGGGGAATCGAAGTCGTCCCGAACGGCCGCGGGAGAGTCGAGGTATAACCCGAGAGCCAGACGTCGAGGATCATTGCGGGCGCTAGGCTCAGGGGTGTTTGTGGGGGGGTGGGACATCCTGAAGGAAGCTGTCAAGAGAGGAAGCTGTCAATGAAGGAAGGCTGTCGTGGACGTGCTCCCTGTGCCAGCGGGAATGCCGGCAGGGGAACAGGTCCTGGGTTGGCCATGGGACGCAGCACCAGTTGCCACCAGGTGTGGAACAGCTGCAGTGACACGGTTGACGTGCTGCTTTGAAGCAGGCCCTTTCGTTGTCGCCTGTCGCTCTCGTCCACATGCGCCGACGGCCACGTTCTCCAGTGCTCGGGGCCCAGTGCGGAGAGCGGTGGGCGCGTCAGAGACGGACGCCCGCGCGGAGTGGAGGCCCCGGTCCGCGAGGCGTGGAAAGAAGCCCGCCAGGGTGGGCCCAGTTTCCCCGCAACAGCAGCAGGCTGACATCGAGGAGGATGAGGCAGGAAGAGGGCGATGATGATGATGATGATGATGATGATGATGATGATGATGATGATGATGATGATGATGATGATGATGATGATGATGATGATGATGATGATGATGATGATGATGAGGATGAGGATGAGGATGAGGATGAGGATGAGGATGAGGATGAGGATGAGGATGAGGATGAGGATGAGGATGAGGATGAGGATGAGGATGAGGAGGATGAGGATGAGGATGAGGATGAGGATGAGGATGAGGATGAGGATGAGGATGAGGATGAGGAGGATGAGGAGGAGGAGTAGGAGAAGGAAGAGGTGGAGGAGAAGTAGGAGGAGGAAGAAGAGGAGGAGGAGAAGGAGGAGAAGGGGGAGGAGGAGGAACATGAGGAGGAGCAGGAGGAGGAACATGAGGAGGAACATGAGGAGGAAGAGGAGGAGGAGGAGGAGGAGGAGGAACAGGAGGAGGAGGAGGAGGGGGAACAGGAGGGGGAACAGGAGCAGGAGGAGGACACAGAAAAGGTCTATTTTGATATAGAAGCCTGCATTTCAGGCCTGGCGTTCCCGGCGGGTGCGCTTCGAGCCAGTCGGGGCCCGAGTGGAGCCGCCACGCAGCGCCCCCACGATCGGAGCCGCCCAAGGATGTCGGTGCGTCCTTGCCTCCAACGGGGCCCCGCCAGCGACGCCAGAGAGCCTCTGTCCTCGAACCGTACAGCCAAGACGCTGCACGAAGGATCACTTCGGGTTCGGAAGGGGCTCGATGTGGGGTTGTCTCGCCGACCTGTCAGCGATGGGTCGCCGATTCCAGCTCGATGTGTCCCCAATCCTTAGCCGGCCCCCCGCATCGTTCCCCTCGAAGAGGGGCGCGGGCCGAGCCGGGGTGGCTTGGTAAGATCCCTCCAGTGCTGTTCCTCTTGCCCTCCTCGGGCACGGAAGCGCTTCTAGGGCCAAAAAGGGGTTTCGTTCCTTATTTGTCTGTCCTTCCTTCAGCGGCCCGTCTGTACGGCAGGCTCGCGTCGTGTCGACCGGCGGCGACTCCGCCCCGGGCGTTCGACGTGGAACGCCGCTGGCGACCCAGAATCGGTCGATGTCGGGCGATCCGACGTTTCGGAGACGGCGGATCGTTCAAGTTGGGGGCGGCCAAAGGGGGGGTGATGATATCTCTCCAGATTTTTATGCGCCTCTTCTCACTTCAATGCGTCCCTGGCCCTCCGTGGGGAGCGCCCATGATTATACGTAAGGCTGAACGATTCCCACGGTGTGAGGAGCCAACGCCAGGATCGACACGACACGAACGCCACTGGTAGGGAGCCCGAACCAGACCAAATCGGAGAGAGCCCCCCAGGTCTGGTCAGGGACCCCCCCCTCGAATGAAGGCCAGGGAGGCCCTGACCAAGCCCATGTCCCAAGTCGGTCAGGGTTTCCTCCCCCTTCCCTGAGACCTGACCGCGCGAGAAGCATGCAGCGCTGGGGGAAATCACGACGGGAGCCCTCGACCCCCATCGACTTGGCCGCCAGGTCGATGGGCCCAGAAATCTTGCGGGACCGCCCAGCGCGAGCAGAATGCGACGCCCGGGTCTCGGGGCCAGTCGGGCGGGGCCAAGCGACAACGTCCTTCCGGAGCGTTCCGTAACCCTCTCAGGGCGTTCTGGAACGCTCCGAGAAGGTCGCGGCGTCTGGCACAGCGCTTCTGACCGCCTGGTCTCCGAGATCCCCGATCTGCCCGTGTCCGACTTCGCCCAGGGTTTGAGTCGGCACCCGTGTCCGACTTCGCCCAGGGTTTGAGTCGGCACAGTGCCTCTACAGGAGGCATAGTCATGCTGGGGACGACGGGTCGTGCTCTTTGGACTGTGTGTTGGACTTTTCTCTGGCTCCCTCCTGTTCTCAGGAGCGACAAAAGGACGTACACGTACATGAATCCACGCTGCTTTGGAGAGAACGCACTGCGCAAATGTTCGTACAACGCGGCCGGTTTCGCGGAGCGAGGGGCCGTGTTCATGTACATAGCTGGGCGCGTACGTCCTTTGTGGGCTCCCTATGTTCTGCTTCCACCATCCGCCTGTACCAGGACGTGCCCGACCCAAGCCCAGGTCGTGGCTCCGTCTTGGCCGCCTCGCCGCCCTCAGGAGCGGAGCCCTCGCCGCCCTCGAAGCGGACACGGCGCGCCTGCCGCGCGCAGCCCGCTGCCGCCAGCGCCGCCGCCGCCGGCGCCGCTGCCGGCTCGGCCGGCGGCTCCGCCGGCAGCTCCTCGGGGGCCGCTGCGGCAGGCGGGCCGCCCGAGGCCGTGCGCATCAGCCCCGGCCTCAGCGCCGCGCGGGCGGACTCTTTTGGCGCTCCCTCCCTCCCTCCATTCCTTTCCTTTCCTCCTCCTCCTCCTCCTCCTGCTCCTTATCCTCCTCGTCTTCCTCCTCGTCCTCCTCCTCCTCTTCCTCTTCCTCTTCCTCCTTTTCCTTCTCTCCCTCCTCGGGGCGGAGTTCTCGGATCGGCGCCTGGGCCCCCCGGCGGCGCCTCGGGCGCCGCCCCTGGCTCGGACCGGACGAAAGGGGGGGATTGGGAAAGGGGGGGTTACGAAATCTGCTGCACACAGCTGGTTTCGGCCCCGCCGACGGGCCCATTCCTCGATGCATGGGCGCCTCCCGGCGCCGGGAGACGCTGGGAAATCAGCTACGTGAGCTGATTCTCCCCCCCCCCTTTGCTATCCCCCCCTTTCGCCCGGCCCGACTGGCGCCTTCTGTGCGCCAGGGGGTTGCTCCAGCGCAGATGCAAGAAATCCGCGCGGACCGTCGAAGGTTTGTGTTTCTGCTGTTTGTTCCTCCTTATCCTCCCCTCGGCGGACTTGGATTCGACGGGCTGGCGATCGACCCGGCTACATCGGGCCGAGGCGCAAAATCTAGGTCGGTTTGGAGTGGGTGCTCGTTCTTCGTGCTTCTTGGATGTTCTTGTGCACCCTGAGGAGGGCGCGCTAGCATGTTCTGCGTGTGTGTTGGCGGGCGGAGGGTCTCATGTTCTTGAGGTATGCTCCTCTGGCCCGGGCCCGGCCCAATCATATTCGAGGATACGGCGGCCTCCACGCCATGCCCTGATGGTCGCGGGCGGGCTCCCCCTCGGAGCGCGCACGACATTGGCGTTTCGCTCCCGCTTCCGCTTCCGCACGAGAGCTGCAGGGGGCCAGTGAAGGGCGGAGGGATGCTTCGTCCTGACGCTTGTCCATGCGTCCTCTCTTGGACTCTCTCCTCGAGGGGGCCGCAGGGGGTGCGAGACTTGTTCAAGGGTGACCACGGAGCCCTGGATTGGGCAGGCCATTTTCTCAAGATGTGTGCTTCACATGGCTTGCTCCTCTTGACCCCCACGAGAAGCCAAAACAAAGGGGGTAGTGTGCGCGTTCGAGGGTGATCGCAGACCCCCATGGTTGGGGCGGCCGTTTCCTCGACATAGCGGTTATCGAAATCGGTTTTCTGATCCTAGAACATGTTGTTGAGAAGCGTGCTTCATGTGACCGCTCTGAGCATTACCCTTCGAAATTAGCTAATCCAGCCGAGGTGGGATCGATTGGCCACGACGGAACAGTCTTTGCGCTGTGATCTCTGAGCGCTACTGGACATCAGGCCTCCCTGCCATCACAGAAGGGCATACTTCAACGTTCTGTGCTGGCGAGGAGTCAATGTCAAATCAGCAAACTGTGCGTCTATTTTCTCGGTCTACGGCGCTGCGGACCGCAAGCTGGTGCAGGTCGGCCGATAATGACCGCAGTGATCATCGACTTTGCGTTCGCTAAATGCTCGGCCAGTCATCCGGAAGCGCGCGATCGGTCTGTTGGCATGCGATGGTGCAGTGATCGGGCCGCGATCGAATTGCTCGACCCTGGGCTGTCTTCGCTGGCTCGCGGTGACTGGTGTAACGCCGAGGTTTGGAATTGCCAGATGAGCCTGACGAGGAGTCGTTCCACCCAGACGATAGCGAGGACGATATCGACTTGGACGATGACACGGGCGCGGGGCAGGCGGATGTAGACATCGATCTAGGCTAGGACCGTCTTTGCTGCACAGGGGATTGCAGGGATGCGTTGCAATTGTAAGTGCAAAGCGCGAGTATGATGGCGAGGCTGGTTGTTTCAACTGTCGCCGTTGAGCCGGAGTAATCAATCCACTGCCTGCAGCAAACTCCGCCAGTGTGCCAGCAGAGCAGTGCAGTTGGAATGAGCCTGTCTTGGGAGCCTCTTGGGTCTCTCTTGAGTGCCTCGTTGGGGCCAGTTTTGGGGCCTGTCCGGGGCTCGTCGGAGGTCTCGGGCATCTTTGGCGCGCGGTGGGTCCAACGGGGCCCTCTTGGGCCGTCGGAGGAGGTTATTGGGCACCCTTAGGACCGTCTTGGGGAGCCGTGTTGGGCCGCCTGGGGGGCATCTCGGAGCTCTCTTAAGCTCTCCGGAGGCGACCTGGAGCCGAATGGCATGGGAAACGATGATGTGTATTGAGTGCTATTCGCCTTCCGGGGCCTCCCCTGAGGAAGGCTGCGCTAGCCCTACCAGACAGCCCGCAGGCATTCTGGATCTGCCCAGCGTGCCTGCGCCACGGTGGCGGAGCATGAACTGCGTCATGATCAGATAGCTGCTGCTGGCTCTTGAGATGTGGTGCCGCACGAGGCCAAGTCACGAAGAGCCCCGATTTCTGCCACAGGAGCGTTTTGCTCAGGTCTGGGCGAGAACGGCCGTGATCGGCTCTCTCCTTACCCCCCCCTACGTCACGCTATTTGGCCCACGGTTGCGAAGCTTTCAGACGGAATCTTGAAGGATGTCTGACGATTTCTGGCGCCCCCCCCGCCATGGTGTGATCGGGGGGGACGAACTTCCCCCCCCTGCCGCCGAGACTTCCCGCGCGCCGCCCCGCGGGCTCCGCAGGCACCAGTCGGGTCGGGCGAAAGGGGGGGATTGGGAAAGGGGGGGTTACGAAATCTGCTGCATGCAGCTGGTTTCGGCCCCGCCGACGGGCCCATTCCTCGATGCATGGCCGCTCCCGGCGCCGGGAGGCGCCGGGAAAATCAGCTACGTGAGCTGATTCTCAAACCCCCCCTTTGCTATCCCCCCCTTTCGCCCGACCCGAACCAGGTCACCAGAGCGACAGCAGACAGCGGGGCCGCCTTCGCCGACATGGGCGCGCAGGCTGCCCGCGTATAAGCTCACGCGGAGGCGCCGCCGCCTCCGGTGCCGCGCGCCGTGCCGGCGGCCCGCGCCTGCTGCCGCGCAGGCGCGCCGTGCCGTCTCGCGTATAAGGCCCCTTTCGATTCGTTCGGCGGTCGAGGCCGAGCCAGGTGACGTTCTTGTGGTCGCGCTCCTGGTGCCCCTCCCTCAACCTCCTCCTCCTCCTCCTCCTCCTCCTCCTCCTCCTCCGCCTCCTCCGCCTCCTCCTCCTCCTCCTCCTCCTCCTCCTCCTCCTCCTCCTCCTCCTCCTCCCGTCAGACCCCTTTCTTTTCGGCGCTCGCCCGGCGGCCGCCTCGCTGGCCCCGCCGGCTCGCCCGGCGAGCTCCTCCCGGGAGGTCCGCGCACCTCGCGGCGCCCCTCTGGGCGCCTCGTGCCGCGCTGAGCTTTGGCGGGCGGTGGCTGGGCTGGCCAGTCGCGCTGCCTCGCAGAGCCGCCACCGCGCTGTGGGGGTGAGCTTCGTTTGGCAGCAAAACATGGGAGCCTGGCGTACCCTATTAGATCCGTCTTAGCGTCGACGAGCGTCTGTGATTCGATGAAATGGCGCCGATTTAGCGTCGGCTAGCGTCGATTAGCGTCGATTTAGCATCGGTTAGCGTCGATTTAGCGTCGACTAGCGTCGATTCGCAAGAGCCGACAAGATGGTATGGGAGGCTCCCATGAGTGGCCACCGAATCTTCAAAGGAGGAACAGGTGCCGATACCGCTACCCTTCGCCCGCTTCCTTTCTCGGCCTCCTCGGAGGCCCTCGTTGCCACCGCTGGATTCGCCTCGAAGTCCTGGTCAGAAAGCGCCCCGGGATGAGTCCGGGGAGTAGCGGTATCTGTACATGTTGGTTGCCCTATAGACTATAGAGTTCAGTCGGGCGTGTCCCTCTACAGGGAGAATGTTCAAACATAGTCAAAAAATAGGGTGGGGACGATTTTTAGAGTATTTTGATGTTTTTGAGTATTTGAAATTTTTCTTCCCGAATCCGCCTGTCGGGGGGCGCACCCGACCTAACCCTAGAGCTGGGGGCTGGGGGCCACCGACCCCGACATCGTAAACCTCTCGTGTCGCCTCGCTTGTCCTTCGCGGGGTAAGCATGTCGAAGGACCGATAGTGAACCTGTGACGCGTGTTGACCTCAATGCGGTAAGGGGATCTTTGTGCCGAATCGAGCCCGAGCCGAAGCAGGAGGATATGGTGCTTTGGAGTGAGCCCAGGCATGTTCTAGCTGCGTCCGACAGCTGCTCAAGTGGCGGCTCAGGTCTGTGTAGAGAACTGTGAGGACGACTCTGTTGTGGACCAGCACAGCGGCTTTCATCCCCATGCCGTTTCACAGAGCTCCCTCCCAGGGGCGTGCATACGTAGTTCGCGTCCTTGCAGGGGGCCGTGATTGTGCAATGCTGGCTGTTCCCTTGTGGTGTTTTGTTTGCTTGTTGTGTGTGTGTGTGTGTGTGAGTGTGGGTGGAGGGGCCGAATTGGTTGTTGCTGTGCACGCGCTGGAATGTTGTCTCCCAATCCTGTTGCATGCGCTGGGACGAAGCGTGAGCCGGGGCGAAGCGCGAGCCCGATACTTGAGAACCCGGAAGCATTTTGCATCCTCAGACTTGACGGGGGCCCCACAGGGGGCGGAGCGTGAGCCAAATATCTGAGAACCTGGAAGCATGTCGTATCCTGAGGCTTGACGGTCCCGTCTTGATCGGAGAGGCCGTGGGCCCCTAGCCATCCCATGTTAAGTCCTGGCCCCCCCCCTGTGGTCCGCAGGGGACGGTGACACAAAGGGATATATTCGAGGACCGCCGGCTCGCGCCCGCCGCTGGAAGGCGCGGTGGTGGATCAGTTTCAACCGGGGGGTACCTCGAGGCCAGAGCGGCCTTCCCGTGGACCCTTCCAGGGCTGCTCGTGGTCCGATCCGATCCGATCCGCTCCCCAAGCCGCGATCTCGACGTCCCTCCGATCTGATCCGACGCGAGCCCGTTCCCTCTCAGCCTGCTGGGAGCCGAGCCCCACTCGCGATCCGAAACTGGCCGATCCCGATCCGGTTCCGCACCGATTCCGGGGCGATCCGAGCCGCTTCCGATCCGAGCCGCTCCGGCGATTCGATCCTCGGGCCTGCCTTTCCGAAGCAGAACCCGTGCTCGCCTGGCCGCGGCATCTTCATGCTCAAGCCCCCTTGGGCTCGAGTAATTCGACTCCGGGCCTGTGCTCGCAAGGGCGAGCCGGGCTCTCGCGCACCCCCCTCCTTCGCTGTCTTTCTCGTCCTCGCCCTCCTCCTCCTCCTCCTCCTCCTCCTCCTCCTCCTCCTCCTCCTCCTGACCCACTGACCCACTGACCCACTGATGGCGAGAAAGCCATCCTGACGTAGCCATCCCTCCTCCTCCTCCTCCTTTCCTCCTCTCCTGCTCCTCCTCCTCCCTCCTCCTCTCCGTAGCCATTTTGGCTCAAGGTTTTGGTTTCCCCTGGGAACAAAGTGGATACCGCTAGTCCGCGGCCAGCTTTCGTCATTCGCCTGGTTCGCCCCAGGCAGAGTGCCGTGCGGTCCGCCCCGCACGGCCCAGCCCCGCTGTGTTCATCATTACGACCGGCCCATGGTACCGCCTGCAAGGCAGGAATCGGTCCTCTTGGGACCCAAGTACCCTGTCTGGGGGTGCGGCCGATGTGGAGCGGCCCACAACTGGGCGTGTCGAGTGGTGTGCCAGTGCGGCAATCCCGCCCCGTCAAGGATCGTTCAGCGTGCGAAAGAAAATGCAGCAGCTTGGGAGAAAGACGGACCCCCAGCTGTTAAGTCCAAAGGCAAAGGTAATGGGTCAAAGGGCAAAGGCAGTGACGGCGGTGTTGACAACGGCAAGCTCCAGCGGCTCGAGAGTCAGCTGGCGCAAGTGCTCAAGGCTGTGCAGGCAGGAACCACGACAGTGGCACCTGGTGCAGCACCCAAGTCAAAGTCCTCAGGCACAGGAGGCAAGCCGCCATGGCATACGGCGGGGCCTGCAGGTGGCACAGATACACAGTCTGAGGACAAGGTGGACAACAGTGCCAAGCGTGATGCCATCATGCAGGAGATCTATGAGTTGGAAGATGTGCTCAAGAGACTCAGGTGCAGCGATGGCAACGACAGTATTAAGTCCCCGATTGAGGAGCGGCTCAAGGATCTGCGCAGCCAGCACAAGCAGCTACGTTCCCCAACTACTGCACACAGACGGGCAGCGCAAGACCTCAGTCGGGCACGCACCGCGTTGCAGAAAATGCAAGATGAGCTCAGTGAAAAGCAGAAGCAGTTGGAAGGAATACGTGAGTCGATTGCAAAAAGACAGGATGAGATTGCGGCGAAGCAAAAGGAAGTGGAAGCGCTGGAGGTCGAGTTTGCTGAGACGGCTAAGCATGTCACGACCTCGACCGATGACGCAAAGAAGACGCCTGATTTGTCGCAGCTCTTCGATTTCGGTTCAGAGCCAGATGAGGTTCCCAAAGAACTCATCCCCTTCCTCGAGAGCCCAGAGTGGAAGTTGCTCCAGAATCTACTCACGCAGAGGGCCTCTAAGTTGCCAACAAAGATGGATATTGATGCTGACGGTGATGATATTAAGTCTTCTGAGAATGCAGCTACAGATGAGCCAGGTGACGACGGGCAAGCTGCAGGGGAGAAGCGTATGTATGAGGATCTCACCGAGCCCGAGCACGAGATATTGTTCTCACTGGCAGGAGACAAAGAGCAGTTTCGACAAAAGCTTGCTGAGTTCTCCGTCAAGCGTGCAAAGGTCAGTTCCAGTTCCTAACGATTGCTGCTTGAGGAGATGGCTATGGAGTCTGTCGGGCAGGAGTTCGACTTCGGCGTCCAGCAGTGCTACGGCATCCCCGTTTTCCACGTTGCGGCCCGACCCTGAGAAAGCTGAGACTCTAGGCTGGACGGCACCCCCAACGCAGCTGCAGGTCAAGGCTTGCAGTGGGCGAGGAGAGGGAACCCAGCCTAGGGAATCGCTGGAGGGAAGGCCCACCTGTTCGTCTTCTGCTACGAGGGCCACAAGCTCTACGGCATTGGCATCCTCGAGTACGATGAAATCGGAGTGCAAAGTCAATGGTGATGCGGATCAGCAAGCGCGCGATCCCAAGTATGATATTCCCCGAGTGAGTGGTTTCAAGTTATCGTATCATGGGACAGTTCCTGCAGCAGATGCAGAACACGACGACACGCACCATGAGTTCGAATCGTTCAACGCCAATGGCGGTAAACGAACAGTGAAGAAGAGGCTCGAGAAGAGTTCGGCGAAAGTGATTTTGATGCAAGAGGTTGGACATCTCGAAGCGGATCTTGAAGCTCTTGACTCCTGGTGTGCTACGCGAGGCTGGTCAATGCGAGCTCTTTCGTCGAAGACTACGGCTGGTCACAACACTGGAGCTGGTGTCGCAGTATTTGTGCGGACAGGAGTCGGGCTACGACCACCTGCAGCTGGAGTTGAGTGTCTCTTTCCAGGCCGACTACAACGAGTCGAGGTCGATCTACCAGGCTGGCCCGCCATCACGGTGTTCAACATCTACCTCCACCCGCAGGTAGGCCCCAGTGGGCCTAATGCCAACATCCTAGCTGAGCTAGGCAGAATGATGCAAACGATTTCAGGACCTGCGCTCTGTGCAGGCGACTGGAACCTGACCCCTGAAGCGTTGGAGGCGTCTGAGTTCCCCGTCCTGGCGGATTTGTGTGTGCTGGCGCCTGCGGTGCCTACGTGTCGAGGAGGGACAGGTTCCAGCATTATTGATTTTTACTGTTTGAATGATACGCTAATGCGGGGATTTAAGAAGCTAACAGTTGATATGCGCTGGACGGTTAAGCCACATCGGCCTATCCGTCTTGCCATCTCTGACAACGGGTTTAAGCTCAAACATCTCGTGTATTCAGTCACCCCAGCGCTGCCCAAAGAGTTCCCGATAGGCCCTGCCCCTCAACCACCCACTTGGTTCGTCGAGCAGCGTTTAGCCGAGAAAGCCTGTGAGGCCGCTTCGGATCCCGCGGTTGCTCCGAGTGAGGCCTGGGCCATGCTTTCGAATGCTTGGGGTCGTTTCGCCACCACAGCGGCCAGGTACCTTGGGGAGAGGGCAGGGCAGCCTTTGAAGAATCCAGGGGCATTTGGGCGATGTTTAAAAGCGCGTTGGGTCGAAGTTTGCTGCACGGCCAAGACCTCCAGTGATTTGCAAGCGGTCGCCGACGGCTGGAAGTGGCTCCAAAATGCTGTTGGTCAGGTCCTTGTTTTTTCCCGCGTGGCCGACACGGCCCAAAATCAGATGATGCTTGCACAAGAGGTCACAAGCTTTTTAGTCGACGGGTTCCCAGGCCTGGGATTGAGTGCTCGACTAGAGAGGTCCGTTCAGGTTGCGAGAGGTTTAGTCAATGCTGAAGAGATAGACCCAGAGGCGCTGCAAAGTTTTTTAGATGACATAGACTCAGACGTAGAGCTTGCCGCTAAAGGAGAAAGCAAAGAGCAGAGAGACTCGTGGCACGACTGGTGCGTGGCAGCACGAGCTGCAGGGTCTCGAGGCTTTCATAAGATCACTGCTGTCCGCCAGGTCCGAGCGGCTACGATAGTGCAAGGACCGAATGGACCTTCCGCGGACACCATCAGTATTGTGCAAAACGAGGTATCGCTGTATAAGAAACTCTGGGGTGCGACGTCGGAGCCTCCTCGGGCGTGGATCCCTGATCGGTCGTCTTGTGAACGAGTTTCTGTTACAGCGATCCGTGAGGTAGGACGCACTTTTTCGCGCAGCACCTCCAGCAGTCTCGACCACTTTCACCCGCGTTTCGTTCTGGCCCTGGATGATTCAGGACTCGAGGTTTTAAGTGCTTTGTGGCAGGCCTGCGAGGCCATCGGGCTGCTCCCTCGTCAGCTTTTATGGGTTGTTCAACCTATGCTCCCGAAACCCAAGGGGGGAAACCGTCTCATCGTGCTGTATGCTGGAATGTACCGAATCTGGCAGAGACTAAGGCGCCCACTGCTGACTGAAGTTAGTCGTCTGGTCGATCGTCGTTACTGGGGGGCGTCGAAGGGACGGTCAGCAGTGGATTGCGCTTGGCTCCAGGCAGCGCGCAGCGAGAGCGATGCCGAGCAGAATAGACACAGCGTTTCAATTGTGGCTGATTTTTCCAAGTATTACGAGACGATTCCCCTAGAACCTCTCAGGGACAAGTTTATGAGGTTCAATGTGCCACTTAGTTTCCTGAAACTGGTTTATAACGTCTGGAAGGGCCCACGACTCCTGAGGCTAGGTCAGCACCATGCCCAGAGCGTGCTCTTCGCAAAAGGAGGGCTGCCCGCGGGAGATGTTTTTAACGACATTTCGATCGAGATACATGCGGTTCAGGAATTTGATTCTCTACTAGTTAGGCAGCCTTGTATTGATTTTCTCAGCTATATAGACGACAGCGCCATCGGAGTAGCTAGTAGTGACAGGCAGATAGCCAAGTCAATGGCTGTCGCAGCAGGCAGAGATTTCAAACAGTGTGCGCAAGAGCTCAAGGCCCAGCTGAATGACAAGATAGCGGTCATATCCAGTACAGAAGACCTAGCCAGAGAGGTCTGCAAGGAATTACGTTTCCCTCGTGAGGCGGCACTAACGAGTGTTGCCTATCTTGGGGTAGATCAGTCTGGAGCCTCTCAGCGCACGAGGCCACATGCCAGAGATAAGCAGAGAGCACGATTTTTCAAGATGCGCTTAAGGCTCAGGAAGCACAAACGACTGGCACGCACTGTTGCTGGGTGCACCAGGAAGTCTTTTCAGCGTGTTTTGAAGACTGGTGTTTCCACGGGTGCTGCCTTCGGCACTGAGGTCCTGGGCCTAAACAATCTCGAGTGGTTTAATTTTCGAAGGCTTCAAAGCCGAGTGCACTCCCCTCAACATGGAGGAACAAGTTTAAGCGCAAAAACGGTCCTTTTTGGAGATGAGAGTGCGAGGTCGGCGTTAGCTCCCGCGTTGCAGTGGTGTCGTATGTTGTGGCTGGCTCAGTCTAACGCCGACCGAGCGCTCGCCTCCACGAATGAGTTGTGCAGGATGTGGCGAGAAGCCAAGGCTAGCAGTCCTAGATCCTGGCATGCGAGCAAAGGGCCCCTCTCGAGAGCGAGGCTCGCAGCTTGCCGTGCAGGATGGGATGCACCAGATCCGATCCTCTGGACAGACCACAACGGTCTACAGGTCAACATCGGCCAGTTGACTCCAGGGCTGCTTTTTGAATTGCTCGAAGCTGGCCTACAGCGCCAGCATG